ACTTCTGAGGTAGTCCACCATCTCCTAGTATGACACCCTGGCTTCATTTCTTTGTAATTCTGACTCATCTTTGACCTCTCAAGCTGAAAACTTGTAAAAGGTCTTTTAGAAAATTTCAGCCAAAATAGTCATACCATTTTTAAATGCAACACAAGGAAAACTCATTGTATTATGCATGTTAAAAATATTCTCGAATTTCTTCTGAGAAGCCCTAGCACCTTTGTGGCTCAGGGGGAAAAATGGAAATTTGGAAGTGCCTCCTCTGCATTAGGAATGCTCTTTCATCACCTTAAAGAACACCTGGCCATGTTGTAACCCTCTGAAAAACCACACTCGTTGAATAAAGGTTCCTTTACCAGCAAAAGCCTTCATCACTGAGCATGGTCCAACTCCTGTGCATGACTAGACTTTGAGTGCACATCCCTTCCTGGACAACCAAAGGTACCCTGCCACCCTCCAGCTCCCATGTTCTACCAGGAGCGCAGACCCTGCCGTCTGAGCAGGCTCATGCTCAGAGGCTATGAGGGCAAAGGCAGACTATCCCTACAACGCCTGCTTAGCCAGGAGATTGGGAAATGCACTGGGATAGGGTGATGTAAAGCAACAGTGAGGAGGAAGCCTCCCCACTCTGCTCTGGTTGTTTTTCCTGCTGGCAGGTGAGTTGAGAGCAGGAGGAAGCTGATGTGGCTGCTGAGGGGAGAGCATAGCCCACCAGGAGAAAAGCTGGGATGAAGAACTTGGAGAAACACAAGATCGGTGACTGTGAGCAGAAGAGGGACTTGCTGAGCCAGGAGACTGGTGAAGGAAGCTGACGTGGGTGAGGTGAGGTCTGGGATTAGCTGTCCAAAGAGGATGGAAGATGCAGTGTGGCTGGGGATGGTGGGGACCAGGAGAAACAGAGCTGAAAGGACGTGGGGTGTGGAGAGGGAAGGAGGAGTGAGGAGAAGGACGGGCACAGGAATGGTGGGAGCAGAAACAGTGAGCCAAGGAGAGCACAGGGCAGCTGGCGCCAGATGAAAAGACAAGAGCTGGGTTTTGGCTTTAGCAGAGGAAAAGGAATGAGGCACCGATGGGGAAGCAGAAGTAGGGGGGGAGAGAGGGAAGAGAAAATAGGTGGCAGAAGTAAGAACTGTAACATCTGACCGTGTAATCCTAGCCCTGGCTGTAATGTGGGAGCAAAGAGGCCAAATGAAAGTTGTGTGAGCAACCTTCCTTCTGGTACTTCCAAACTCTTGGAGTGCCTCTGTACCCATAATGCTGTCCATTTTAGGTGCCTTTAGGTGTGCACATGTGCCACGTAGAACATCAAGTGGGCAGACATACATGAATGTAAAAGTGCAGTCTTCCAAGAGGTCATACAATGCAAAGGTTGAAGTTGTATCACAATTTTTTTCCTCCTCTGAAATGATCAGACCTCACATTTGTAGATCAGAAGATATCAGGATAAGTCCTGATTACTGCAGGGTCTCTGAGGCAAGTTGAATCATTGGGGTTGAACCATCTGAGAAACTGAAATCTCTGGAAGATTTTAGCCCCCCACAGCTAAGAAGGCAAAGCTGCTGTAGCTTGTCTCAGAAATAGGGGTCTTCAGGATTTATTTTCCTGCAAAACTGAGAGCTCAAAAAAACTTGCATTCAGCTTTGCAGAGTTAAATCCAACGGTCTGCAGCAGTGACTTTCAAACCATAGTCTGTGAACCACAGGATCCGTAGACAGCTTTTATAAGGCCTGTGTAAAGGTCTTTAAGAAAAACAGGACTTTTGCTTAAATTCGCTACAATCACAAATTTTACATATAGAAACTAGGAAAAAATTGCAAGTCCTTAATGGACAGTGTAAAGATATGGGGGAGACCAGAGGCACTTCAAAATCAGGCCTCCTCTTATGACGTGGTCAGTTCTACGGAGCCAAGGTTTAGCATTTGTGTGTATGGTTTTGTTTTATGCTCTTTGGGCCCCCTGTCTGCCCAGGATCATCCTTTCTGACAAAGATAAATTGCCTCTGCCTACCGTAGCTTTAGGTTTTAGTTCCACTGGGATATGCCAGTAATCATGAGATACAAAATCGTCTTCTGAATATATTGCAGTTAACTTTGGTTGTATAAATCCAAGCATTAGCTGGATACTATAAATAGGCAGGATGTGCAAGGAGGCCAAGTTTAAAATGTGCAGGAACCATGCCTTTTTTCTTTAATGCAACCCCGAAGTTGTGCTACATTTCATCACGTATAATATGAAATAATATGCATGTGCTTTGTGGCTGTAGTAATTAACTGGACATAATGAAGCACTGAATTTCACACTTTGGAGAAGTGGATGGGGGAGGATGGGTAAGTTTTTCTCAAGTTTTCTTGCTTTTAGTGCTTTCTTGGAGGTAGTTTTCTGCAAGATTGGGTAGAGAGCAGAAATACATCTGTTTTATATTATACGATGGCTGTACTTTGGCAATGGAAAAAGATGGCACTTAAAAAAAAGGAAAGAAGAATAAAAAAGAAAAGCTTGGCAACTACAGAATGGAGAAACAATTACAAGAACTATCTTAAAATTCCCAGGATTTGTAATTTATTTTTCCACGCTTGCATTTTTCTGATGTTGCTGATGCTAAAGGAGTGAGACAGAGGAAATTCAGTAGGATTTTACAAAGTACAGATATCTCCGTGAAACAATCTCCTTTATTCAGGTTGCTCCCATAGCAGCTGCTGTGATTAATGTGTGGGTGGTAGCAAAAGGGATAGGAAGCAGGACTCATACGTTCACTTTTAAAAAAGCGATAGATCATGGTTTTTTTCTGTAGTTTTCTTCAGCCAGTGGCCATGAAGTAATGAAGGTGGTCTCCCCCTTCACTGCAATTATCTATGGGTATAAGGCAGAAGTAAAATTAATGCAGATGTTTTTTGGGAACAGAGCCATGTGAGGCATCTTTGTGGTGGGAGGGGGAAAAGTTATTCAGGCAATACAATAGTACCTAGTGACGTGTCATAGAATCATAGAATAGTTTGGGTTGGAAGGGACCTCTAAAGGTCATCTAGTCCAACCCCCCTTGCCATGGGCAGGGACATCTTCAACTAAATCAGGTTGCTCAGAGCCCCGTCCAACCTGACCTTGAATGTTTCCAGGGATGGGGCATCCACCACCTCTCTGGGCAACTTGTGCCAGTGCTTCACCACCCTCAGCATAAAAAATTTCTTCCTTCTATCTAGTCTAAATCTACCCCCTTTAGTTTAAAGCCATTCCCCCTTGTCCTGTCGCAACAGGCCCTGCTAAAAAGTTTGCCACCATCTTTTTTAGAAGCCCCCTTTAAGTACTGAGAGGCTGCAAGAAGGTGTCCCCAAAGCCTTTTCTTCTCCAGGCTGAATAACCCCAACTCTCTCAGCCTTTCTTCACAGGAGAGGTGTTCCATCCCCCTGATCATTTTTGTGGCCCTCCTCTGGACCCGCTCCAACAGGTCCGTGTCTTTCTTATGCTGAGGGCTCCAGAGCTGGACGCAGTACTCCAGGTGGGGTCTCACCAGAGCAGAGCAGAGGGGCAGAATCACCTCCCTTGACCTGCTGGCCACGCTGCTTTTGATGCAGCCCAGGATACGAGTGGCCTTCTGGGCTGCGAGCACACATTGCTGGCTCATGTCCAGCTTTTCATCCACCAGTACCCCCAAGTCCTTCTTGGCAGGGCTGCTCCTACTGTTGTTTCCATTTTTTCTTTCCTTTATATATTCACCCAAGAAACAATCTTTCCCCCCCCCCCTCATATTAACATAAGGTGGTCCCAAAGTACAAAGAGCTGAGACTCTACTCATGTGGTAGACATTTTCATCTTTGAGTAAAGTTGGTGGGAGCCGACGACACTGAGCATCTGTCTATTTTTTAACAAGACTACAGGGCGTGACATGTGAGCACCTTCCAAGAGTGTAGTAAGTGATGCATCCCATGGGGCTGCTTTTCACATCCTCTCATTTGGAGAATGTAATGTTTCAGCCTTTGCAGGGCTGGGGACTGGAAAGGGAACCATGCTTTCCCTGCAGCGGGGTCTGAGCTATATGACAGTACCCCCAGGTTGTTCAGCAACTTAGCTGGCTTGAAATAGAGCACTGGAACAAAATACATTCTGAGTAATTTTTAAGTAAAAGCTAATGTGAAAATGTGGGAGTTTGAACCAATATAAACACATTAAATTTAAAACGATTTTCAAATGTAGTAAAGAAAAAAATTATGTTCCTGCTCTTGAAATTCCTAAAGGACACATTTTTCCTTCTGAGTCATGATTTAATTAGATTATATTTTATTACACATTCTTTACAAATTTTAAAATACTGCTATTATACATGCACAAAGAAAAATCAGTTTGAACAATTGTATGTAGGCATTCATTGAAGTCAACCACAAAACAGGAACATTTTATGTCAGTTATCAATGTACTCGATATGTATATCTAAAGTGCATTATGTTACAAAAAATATAGAAAGTCAGCAGCACCAAGATACGTTCACAAAATAAATACACCAGTCAACAAAATAAATTATGGTAAATGTGACAATAATAATTGTCTCAGCCTTAGCAAAAAAAAAAAAAAAAAAAAAAAAGGAAAATTCACAATAACCAAATGTGCAGTTTCAGAGAGCAATGGGGGAAAAAAGGTTTTATTCTGAGCATTTACAATATTTACAGGTAATAAATATTTTAATACTTCCCATATGTTCACTATTACAGAATACTGCAATATGTCTTCCAAAAATCTCTTGCTGAAAATGTCAGCGCCTCCTGCAAAGAAGAAAAGGACAGAAAAAATAGAAAAATTAATTTTCACTTCAAATACATAGACACAAAATTAATGGCGAGTGCCACAGACTATAACGGGTGTGCCTTGCTAGTAGGCTATTGCTATTATTTGCAATAATAGAACCAGTTTAACAATGCTACAGTTTTAGACATCTTTTCAAGACCTCAGCTATATTTCCTTCAATGCAACTCAGCTGGCGGTATGAAGACCTGCAGTTTGTCATGACACTGAGGCCATCTATTCCACTATATTGTACACTCAGAGAAATAGGAAGGGGCTTTAGTTTTCTTTAGAGCCTTATGCAAGAAGATTCCTGAGCGCTACAGGTAGAAAAATTGTATCAACCTATAATAAAGATGCCAAGTGCTTAAAAGAAAAAAATAGAGTTGGAGAAATGAGAAATTTGTTTTGAAGATAAGAAAAAGAAAGCCCTTATAGAACTCTGTGGCAATCATGCCCCTGCTGTGTTAACTGCTTGGGTATGATGCCAGGCTTCTGATTAAAACAGTCCCAGGGGGCTTATTTGGTCTATCTTTCCCACTGATAGACCACCTGTTAGACAAGGGTCTGTTTATCTTAGAGATGTATGTTTCTATGCTGTCGTGTACACGAGTACCTGCAGTACTTATGCAGTAAAGGCTGCTCAGGTCTTGAAGTGAACAGATCCTTGATAGCATGTCTCTTTAAGTGCTTGAATGAATGAAAAGACTATAACCCTGAAATTTTCTCTCTGTGAGCCAAAGAGCTTGGTCCTGAAAGAAAACGAGCATCACACTGTGTTAAGTTCTGACTCCTGTTGCATTCAATCAAAGCTGAAACAGTCAGCTGTATACAGTCCTAAGATTTGGGAGTTTTCTGAGGGATGCTGGCAGCCTGGTGTGTCTTCTGTACTCCTCCCTTCCTTGTGAAGGCACGAGAACAAAAGCAGAGCCTGCTCCTATCCTGTCAGTATATTACTTATACTGCAATATTATTTTAAGTTACTTCTTAGCAGTGCTGCAGAAAATGCTGAAGGGTTGGGCTTTTTTCCCTTCTGTCCCTGTGAACAGCACATTTCTGTAATGCACGTTGGTTCCCTGGGAAACAGCTATAAGATGGAATGCGAAGCTATAGGATGGAGCAGGATTCGCTCTGTTGCTGGACTGATCGCCAAAGCTGCGGGTAGCGTTCCACATGGCAGACGTGTGTGGGTGTGAGATACAAAAAAAAGCAAATCCCTGAGACTTTAGGAGGGGGTTTTTTTATGTGCACATTGAAAGTGAGACTACATTTAACATTAGGAAGTCTACTCATTTGAAAGGTTTCTTAGGAAATTAGGTAATAACAGCTTAATTGTATTGGAATGGGAATATAACTGGAATGTCCACGAGAAAGAATTTTTTAAGTAAGTGTCTGGGATGGAAATGCTAGCATGAAGCTCCTTAATAATTAACTAGTAATATTAGGGTGTATTCAGGCTATGCTACAATATATATAATAATGGCACACAATTCATACAGCATGACTGTATATGTGTGTCTGCACTACACAGGCCTATTTTTAAGAGGGTGACATTTCAATTTGGCTTGGATTTTAGACTTTGTTTTAGAGTTTGAGCTAAGCCACATCTTGACAATGGGCTCTTTACTAATGACTACTTGCAAGCTGCTTTCTGTGATTTAGTCCCAGATTTTGAAAGATTGGCTTCTTTTATGAGATATTTCCTGTAGTAAGTCAAAAGATCTAGAAAGCACGTTATTTTTGGTCTTTTTTTCTGACCTAAACCCAAAATTTTGGATCAAGATTGGACGGAGGGAATTGGCATGGGGATTTTAGTTCAGTGTGTTGAGCAGAAAAGAAGCACAGAGATACAGTGAAAAGCATGCTTAAAGTTTATCTTTGCACTTCCTTGACATTTGCCCTGCTGCATTATGCATATCTACTTCTTCACTGTAAAGTAATGATGCTTCTCCTAAGCTGCAGCTAGCCTTAGGGGTGCTACAAAAGCAGCTTCTACTGGTGTAGCATATGGAAATCCTGCCTGCACACACCTTCCTTGTCCCCCACCAGCAGATAGAGTAGAAGTTCCTGATTCAGCTCAATACAGCTGAGGAGTCAACCTCACTCAGATTTGGTCATCCCTCCATCTAAAATGCGCTTGCCCACCTTGTGCCAACAACCACGTAGACAACTGCATTGAACCTGACTCCCCTTATCTAAAGTACACGTCAGGGAGTTGGGACTTGCTTTCATTTAAAGTTTAGAAATTATACCTTTTGCCAGCCTACGGGGATAACTGCTCATATACGAGCGGTTTCTTAAAAGCTGAACCAGCACATTATGCTCTGTACTTGTGAAGAAGGAATTTCATTCTCCTGTTTTATGGCTTCTCTTCGTTTAATCATCTTCAATTAAGTATCTAAAATATAGGTCCTCCTTAGGAATCTGTTTCTCGCCCTGGAGAGATACTGCATCTTGGGCGATAATATCGGGAAGGTAAAGCTGGACTTCCTTCAGCAGTCTGGCCTCCACAGTAAAGCTGACTGCCTTCAGCCATCCAACCATACTTGAAACAGAAAGGCTGAACTAGGAAAATCAGCAGGGTTGTACCTGTCATTCTTTTACATATCCCATTGGATATACAACCAAAGACAGAGTAGCAAGAAAAAGAAACAACACTGAAAATGCCCTAGGAT